AACGACGACGACGACGACGACGACGAGGAAGAGGAGGAGGAGGAGGAGGAAGTGCGCGCGCCCATTCTCCCGAAGGCCCCGGCGGGGCGAAAGGCCGTTCCCGCCCTCAGCGGGGCTCGACTTTCGCGCCGGGTGGAGGCCGTGGCGAGGGCGGGCGGGGGCGCGGCCGACGGGGGCGAAAAAAGCGCGCCGTCGCCGACTTCTAGGCCCGATTTGTCTTCCACCCGACGCGCGGTCGCCGGGGGGCTTTACGGCCACGTCCAACCCCCGGAGGGGGCGGTCACGCCGGACGGGCCCGCCAGCTCCCCCCCACGTCGTCCGCCTCCCCGCGCGGGGAGTCTCCCGCACGAAGGGGGTCATTTGGAGCCTCAGAATATCGTCAGCCCGCTGATTGAGCGCGTTGCGCATATAAAAGATCCCCACACCACGCGGCCAAACACCGTCGAGACTCACGAACAGTGGTTTAAAAAGAAACCTAAGCGGCGCCAATTTCAATGAGCGACTTGCGTCGCGCTCCTTGCGTCTAGGCCATCGGATGGAGGGAAATGACCGCCATTTTTTCTTAAAACGACATAGAAATATAGAAATTAGATAATGGACCTTATTCAATTTTTAAATAAACCTGTTCTAGAAATAAGGGACGATAATGTGGCGGCATAGAAATTTTTTTCAGTTTAATCATTAATTTGCGGATAGGTGAACTGACACGGATTCAACCAAATGACGTGGATGATGACACTTTATTTCTCACTTTTCTTTCCACCCCTTCTCCCATGATGTCCACGGGTGAATTCCCAAATTTATGTGGTTCTTCTCTCTCGTAGGAAAGCAACAAACAAAAAACCAAAGTTCACCCCACTTCATTTTTTTTTTTTTGAAGGGTTTCTCAGCCCGACAGCGCCTTCTATTATAATCGTCAGGCCAGACCGCCGCTCAGCGAGTTGACGCGATGCCACCGGGCAAAAAAGCGGAGCAGAAGCGCAAGGAGAAGATCATCGAGGACAAGACCTTCGGCCTCAAGAACAAAAACCGAAGCGCCAAGGTCCAGGCCTACGTCCAGCAGGTGCAGAAGACGGTCAACCAGCGAAACCCGAACGACCGCCGCGCCGTCGCCGAGGCCGAGGAGCGCCGCCGCGCGAAGGAGGACAAAAAGGCCCGCGAGGCCGAGCTCGCCAAACTCTTCCACGACGTCGACCAGGCCCCGCGGCGCGCCAAGGACGACGCGGACGGGGCCGACGCGGGGGAGGGCGAGGAAGGGGGGGCGCTGGTCTACGACCCCGACGCCTATCTCTTCCGCCCCGAGGACTTCGACGCCGTCGCGCACGACGCGCGGCGCCTGGAGGAGCGCCTTGAGGCCGAGCGCGAGGCCCTGCAGGGGCGCCTCGACCTCACGCCGGTCACCGAGGCCACCTTCCAGGCCTGGAAGCGGGAGACCCGCCTGGCGAAAACCGCCAAAGAGGCCGCCCGGGTCCGCCAGGCAAAGGCCGGCCACGGCGCCCTCCGCGGGTGGGACCTCTGGCAGATGGACCAGAACCTCTTCGTCGACGACGACCAGGCCGACGAGTTCTACAAACGAGAGGTCTTCAACGACGAGGACGACGAGGAGGAGTACGACCTATCCTAATACACATTTCCCCCTTTTGTGTGTGGGGGGGAGGGGTCAATTTTATGATGTAGCCCTTGGAATGGCTTCGGCAGGAGAGATGGTAGGGTAGTTGTTGGATATTTCATTGGTCAGAGTATGGGTAGGGAAAGACGCACCCAATACGTAGGCGAATGAATATCGGTTGAGTAAACATTAAAAGAAAAGGGAAAAAACAACAACCGTGTAAACCCACTCATAGTCGACTGGATCTGCTTTCTAGACAAGCGACAAGGATGTAGATCGGATAACTCTTTTAATCCAGGTATATGGACGACATGTGGATGGGGTCAGGAGAGAAAAATTTTGTGCACACCATCTGTGGAGTTGGCAGCATCAACGCCAGCGTCCAAAGGAGAAGAAAAATAGTTATAGACGACGGGAAGGGCAATGGACGAGTAGAAGTCAGACATTAATAAAGGGAGACTTTACCTTTGCAGGAACTAAGCAGGAAATCCAGATATGCCTATTTCTTGAATGCTGATCGTTCCTTTCTTGCCATTTTTTTTTGTGTGTAATTATTAAAAAAAAAGGGAACGTATGCACTTATCTCTATCTAATCTAGATGTTATACAACCTTAACTATGAAGTGCTTTGGTCGTTCACCCTCCCCTCCTTGTGTGTGTAATCCCTTGTGCCTTTTTTTCCCTGTTTGCATTCCCTTATCAAGATTCTTCGTCATAAAAGAGCACGTGAACGAGAAAGGATTAAAAAAAAGGAGCCTTTTAAACTAAAACGCACACACCAAGCCGTAAAGACCAATACCCTTCCAATATTGATTTTACGTTTTTAATTTATCCCCTATTTTCCCATCCCCACCCATGAAGAAGTCTTTTCGCAGCTACGGCAATGAGCCGGTGGACACTCAGAACATCGGCAACCTCCTTGGCAGCCGCCCGTGTGTTCGGCAGAGCCGACTGTATCGTGAGGGCTGCAGCGGCAACGCGATGAAGGACATCCTCGGCCAGGGCGAGCTCAAGTGGGACACCACCCGGACCCAGGGCTGCTATCAAGGGGGCCACGTCTACGACCACAACACCCAGGACAACCTCGCGGTCCAGCAGGAGGCCGCCCCAACCCCCCCGGCCTCCACCGAGGAGGGCGAGATCGAGGTCGAGGTCGTCCGCCACGACGCCTCCGCCCCAGTGCGGGCGCTCGAAACGAAGGAGGAGGCCAAGCCGGAGGCCCCTCGGGTCTCCGCGAGCACCGGCAGGGGCTTCCGCCCTTGCGCGGGGATGGCGAACCAGCAGACGTACAATATCTTCACGGGGGAATAGGTGGCATCAACGAAGTGGGTGATCGGAATTAAGTGGCCTCCAATTTGCTTTTACGGGGATAGGCAATTTTGAGTATAGGATACCTATTCGGGGAATTTTAGACGAGAACGATAAAGCATGAAGATTCACCGCTTAGATGAAAAGGTAGCGACATCGTTGTGTAAAAACAACAACTTAGAATTGAATCCAGTTTTAAAATGAGGGAAAAGTGTACTTCTTTGTAGTAATTTTTTTTGCAATGAGGCATCATAAATCTATTTAAGAACGTCTTTTTTTTTTTTTGTAATTGCTTAAACAGAGACGCAGATCTAGACCCTTCCCTATGTTGCGGGTGATTTTTTTTACCTTGTTTTTTTTACGCCCTATTAATAGTTTCATTAATATTTGATTCTTCTGTCTACTCACTCACCTTTTCCTTGTATTGGTAGAAATGTAATGCGGAAACACATGTTTCTATGAAACACCAATGGAATTTGAATGTATACAAGAAAAGATTCTTGTGTTATTGGCATTGCTATTTATCATATGCATTTGTGTGTGTGCGAGTGTGTGTGTGTATTCATTCGCTGTTGGACCTGACACTTTTGATTGGCATTACATGTGTGTACTTTGTGCGAATGTTTTTTTCAAAATTAATATCTGCCCTTAGGCTTACACATATATGTGTATTCGATAAGTTGTGACAAATATTTGTTTTAAAAATGATACTTCTCATAAAAAATGGTGTATTAGGGCTGGATAAACCCATTTACTCCCGCGTACAAAATGAAAAAATAAGATGTATCACTATACAGATAGTCAGATATTTTTTAGTTTTATCATAATTTTGGAGTAAAGCTGAAAACGCGTCCATAAACGCTTTCAAAATACATACGTATATACGCCTAACTGTACCTCAACCTCTTCACTTATGTATTTCCCTTTTCATTTTAAATTATCCAATATTTTTGAACACTTTTCTGCATACCCAGTCGTTCCTCTTTTTATTTGATAAATGAAAAGGGTAGCTAAATCCTTATCTTGGATATATCCAATTGATTCAGAATCAGACTTAATTGAGGAAAGGAATTTTGGATCCATGCCCCTTGTGTTTATTATGTCCTGCGAAATCCATGCTACTACTAAATAATCTACACGATCACATAAAAATATGAGAAAATGAAAAAGGGAAGCAATGGTACACCGGGCGCTATGTTTTTTTTTATCAATTTGTACGACATTTAAACCAACGTTAGTTATGACAATGCTTTCGCAATGGGGAAACACGTTTTTTTGATTTTATCATTTCTTCAGTATTTATTATCCTTATTTCCCTTCTTATTTCTCCCCCTCCCCCCAC